ATATTCAATTACATGTGGGTGTGTATTTGCTTTCTTCCTGTTTACTTTTGCGGGTACAGGTGTTGGGGACTAGTTGGTCATCAGTGGTAGCTAGAGCTATTTAGTCAGGTTCAGCAAGGAACAATATTACATTCTTTGAGAAGACTGTAGATTGATACCCAAATATTCAATAGCATACTAAAATTTAGATGGAAAGAAAAGTTAGAAAATTGCTTCAAGATCATAATTAAGTTTAGGTGACTAAGGCTTCGTTTGGGACGGCTTCCGTACTGCTTCTTAAAGCAGATTTCTAGTACAAAAATTAAAATTTTTTACTAAAAAATTGCTTTAAGAAGCAATAAGAAAGTTGTCCCAAACGAAACCTAAGATGACTATTTATCTCAAAAACAAGTACTAATCACAACCGCTTGTGGCATTTAAGTTTTCAATGCAAAGTATAGCACAGTAAATCAAAATGTGCAAATCTTTTGATTGGAGACAATTTGAATCATATAATTTTTTTTTTTTTGGTAAATGGCAATGACAAATGAGCTACTTCTCACTGGAAGAAAATGCATTGTTGGTTTAGGAGTTGTTGGTGGGTCGTATTAGTAGGGGTTGCCTTACATTTATTTTAATTATTCTTTTAAATGAAGCAAAAGAAACACAATAAATTCTTGGAGGATTTGAAATTTCCCAAAGCATATGTTTTACTGGCATATACATTGCCCAAATCAGGCAATTTCCAAATCTCGCGCTAAGATCATCTTCAACGGAAAATCGCATTTTTCACTCTAAAATGCCGTGAAACTTAAAAATGTCGTGATTCATCTCCAATGGAACTCCATTTTGAGAAGGTAACGATCTTTTTTTTTTCTTTCGCGCGCTTCTTGTCAAGTTCGGTAGACCGAGAAAAATGGCGATGATGAACAGTTCAACGCCAATATTGGCGTCCTACTGTTCAACCGCATGGAAATAGCAAGTTTCAGCGTTCAGCTGGAGCTCGGAGGCGACGGCATTCAAGCATTTGGAGTTCCCTCTATCGTTGCCATCGCAAGTCTCCATTACCCATCATTCTGACCATTGTCGCTGCCCTCCACACGTCGCTGCCCCAACTGCTGCCTACTGTTCACTACCTGAGATCTCCCTCGTTCAACATTTCAATGCTTTAAAATGTATTATATCAAACAAACAAAAAAATCAATACATTTTATTTGCATCCAACCAAATAACCCTTGGATTCCTAAAATACAGGCACTTCAATTACTCCCTATTTCTAGAACGCGCGTAGTTTTAAAACATCCAACCAACTAACCCTTAAAGAGTAACTAGAAACCAGACTTTGTCGCAGAAATCATGCAATATCAGTGCATAAAAAGACAAGTAGCTGATGCAAAGAATAGCATGCATTCTTTAATAAAAATCTATGAAACACAAACTGCAAGAAAAACAGAGAATATTAACAATCTAACAACAATTTATTCAAAACAACCAAAACCAAAAGAAAACGGAACGAATAACAGCACCCAAGAAAAAAATTCAAGGAATGTGAATAGAAAAACATGATCGAAATTACAAGGAGAAGAAAATAAAATTGAAAAATCTCCATTACCATGATAAAAAGGGCCAACCATTCCCCCCGTTTTTTTCCCCGCCCCCGCCGCCATTACCACCACCTCCAGAACCCTTAAACCCATCGTCGCCTCCAGAACCCCCATCCGCAACCGCCTGAAGCATAACGAAATCAAATCTCTCACGCTCTAATCTGGAATAAACAGATCCCCAAACCCTAGAATAAGCTCCCAGCATTGAAGTTTGGAAGCGGCCTAATGGAAATTTGAATCTACACAGAGTTTGCGGGACCCGATTGGAATTGATTCGACGGATATCGTGGAGATTGGATGAGAGAGCAGAAAGAGGGCGGCAGGATTGAAAGGCGAGAGGGTTTCTGAGAAGCACTGCCACCATTTTCGGTCCGTGCCGGAGCATCGTCGTGGGTTTTTTTGAGGTTTATCGAACTGCAACAACTCAGCCACCAACAGCTGAGGATTCACATCAGCTCGGCCGGCGGAGATATTGTTAGGTTGGATCCATTTTTATAGGCGAACCTCTCCCGTCTCGTCGGATGAAGAGATCAAAATCATTATTTTCTCTGCCCTCAAATCATTTGCCGCCCCAATTCCTGCATTGACGGACCTTTATTGAAGCTCAAAAGCCATAGAAAAGCTCTCTAAGTATTACTTTAATTTCTAAAGCCATTTGGTATAACCAATTTTTCACCTATATCTCTTTGCAAGATTTTTTATAATTAAAATCATCACTAACAGGGGCGGAGCCACAGGATATTTTTTATGTGGGGGCACAAATCATTAAAGTAATTAAAAAATTCTCAACATTAAGAAGCTCAATTATGCCTTAATACTCGACAGCTAAATAAACAATCTTAAACAACCTGGCGTTTATGAAGAACATCGTTTAGAGCTAGTGAATATATTCGTTAAG